AGGACCGTTGGTACGATGCCGGTGCTCAAGGATTCATGTATTATATTGAGGACAATGGGACAGAGAGAAGAGAAACAGGATTGGAATAAAGTGGTGGGAATGGGATCTAAAATAGATGTGGTGGGTTTCATGCACGTAACTCGTTTGTTTAGGGATGCTGAGTCAAGAATAGAGAAGCAGGAGAGACGGGAACCAGAGAAGTTGGATGAGGAGGGAGGAGGTATGGAAATGATATCCGTAGTGGAGAGAATGTGATGCCGGATGTTGTCAATCTTAGAACTAAATAAATCTAAGAATGTGTTGCAAAGTTGTGATGAGGCAGGTAATGTGGTAGGACAGTTTGGCTTGAGCAGTCTGTTGATGATGGAGAAAAGATGCCTGGGATTGTTTTGGTGATTTTCAATGATGTGAGAGAAGTAGGTGGATCTAGCAGACTCTATAGTTACCTTATAATCAGATAAGTAATCTCTCCAGGCCTGATAATGTACATTTAGGCCGGAAAGACGCCACCTACGCTCAAGTTTGCGAGAGGCTGCCTTCATGGATCGCAGATGGTCATTGTACCAGGGGGCAGGGCGAGAGAAGGAGATGGTTCGAGTTTTTAGAGGAGCAAGGGTGTCGAGGGTAGATAAAAGAGCATTGTCAAGTAACTGTATTTTGTCCTCTAGAGGGTCAGAGGAAGAGAAACAGGATAAGGAGGACAGAACAGAATTTGCAAACCTCAGGTGATCAATTGATCGCCAGTTGTGGAAATTTACAGAGCGTGAGGGGGAAGTGTTAGAAACAGGTAATTCCAGATTGAAGAGAATGGCTAAGTGGTCAGAGAGGCCTAGATCAAGGGGGGAGCAGTGGGAGACAAAGGAGTCATTTGCAATAATTAGATCTAAGGTGTGTCCTTTGTTATGTGTAGGGGTACAAACAAACTAGTAAGTTTGGTCAAAGCAAGTAAGGTCAAAGCATCCCAAAAGAGAAAGGAAGTCTTTAGGCAGACTGGAAGAGGTTGAATCAATGTGTATATTAAAGTCCCCTAGAATAAGGATCCTTTTAAACTTAAGGGATAAGAATGAGAGAAAATCAGCCATAGAATAATACAACTGCAGCCATAGTGCACCAGTATGCTCACCACACATCCGCTATCAGTGGGGAGGAGAGCAGAGTCATGAAGCCAGTTCATAGATGGGGATTATTAGGAGGCCATGATTGGTGAAGGCCAATTGGAAATTTGACCAGGACTGGGGTAACACCCCTACTCTTTTTGAGAAAAACCCTGGGATTTTTAATGACCACAGAAAGTCAGGACCTTGGTTTGTGTCTCATCTGAAGGACGGCACCTTTTTCTGGTATAGTGTTCCCATCATTATAATGGGTCATTAGGACCCACACAGACTGCAGGGTGAGCGCCCCCTGCTGGCCTCACTTACACTTCTAGCAGCAACTTTAGCTTTCCCAGGAGGTCTCCCATCCAGGTCCTGACCAGGCTCACACCTGCTGAGCTTCAGTGGGCTGCCAGTTGTGAGCTGCAGGGCGATATAGCTGCTGGCAGTTTATAGTAACCTAAGGAGACTATAGAATGAGAATGATCCCTACGATGAAGACTGTATGGGACAAGTTTCCCCAAGCTGGTAAGGAAACACTGCGGGTGTAAAAAGTGTTGCTGTACACATGAGGTATGAGTCTGAAACAAGTTTTTTGCGTGAAGGTATCATGCCTCAAGTCAGTCATTGTAATGGTTTCTATTACTGGGGCAGTTGAATTTTTCAGTGTTAAATGGTGGTCAGGTTGCCAGACTGGTTTAAGCATGAACCCTAAGCATGAATCTATTGATTGTCTGGCCTTACACAGGAAACACATTTTCACATAATAACCATAATTATTTCTTTGTGCTTTAGAGATCATTCAAACCACTTTTGAGCACTTTGCATTATGGGCCACATGTCTCAAAATGTTATTGATAGTCTGCCAAGTTTAAGTTCAATTGTTTCAGATCCTCATAAGAAGGTTTTTAAAGGGTTTTCAAATCTATGGGTCCATTATGATTGACATGGGATCCCAGTGCAATCACAGATTTAATAAAACCTGAAGATAGATGTTAATCAGGGAGACTTGACGAAGAAGGAAACGTCATAGTAGGCACATTTCCAGAAACAGCCTAATGCAGGATCCTCCCAGAACATACCGGCAGGAACACCACTATTTCCAATGACCTCTTCAAAAAGGGAATCCAGGACTGATTTTGTTTCTCTTTGCAGCTGTGTCCTGGCATGTGTCCCGTGACCTTTGACCTGTGATCTCCGGACTTCTTCATGGCTGTCCTGCCGTGTCAGAACTGCTCAGGGGAGCCGCAGTGGCAGCAGGAGCGCACCGACACGATGGTCAACCCCATTTCGTCTTTGCTGCTGGTCCTGGGGGGGAAAAGTCTTCTGAACTGGGCTATTGTGGGGCTGCAGAAACAGCACATGAGCAGAAGCTTCCTGGGTTTCTTCTGCGTTTCCCTGACCGTGATCGACACCCTGCTCTTTCTCTTGTTCTCTCTCATTTACTGCTTGGAGGACTTCTGCTTCCTGGGATTCCGTTTAACCAAGTATCACATTTGTCTCCTGGTGCAAATCGCCTGCTACACCTATGGCATCCTGCACTGGCCCGTCTTCATCCTCGCAGGACTGGACTACTACTGGACTCTGCCCCGCCCCGGTCAGACACACTGGGCCTGGAAACTAGCATATGGAGTGGCCGTCTTCGTTGTTTGGATTTTGGCCCTACTGTACGTCTTTTGTTCTTCAGTCTTCTATCCTGAGGTTGATGACAGTTTCCACCTTCTGCTGTACGAGTGCTTCATCTCCACCAGCACGCAGTGCTTCTCTCTCTCTTTGGGCCTCCTTTGTCTTTTATGCTGCATCCTGGTTTATTGTCTGCCTGAATTTGTCATCTCCTACAAGACTGTAAAATACATGACCTGGACAGGACAACCCATCTCAAATTTACCTGAAACCATGGCCCGTGGAGTTAGACAGTCTAAGAAGCATGTTCTGGGCAAGTTGACTGTGTGTTTCCTCAGTACCTGGACCCCATTTGTGTGCTTACAGGTTGTCATTGTTTTGCTAGGTGCCGAGATCCCTGCATACTTGGACATGAATGTACCTTGGTTGTGCTTTTTGAACAGTTTCCTCATCGGTGGGGTCTATTGGTCCCAGTACCAGGTGTTTAAAGATCAGAAGAGCCTGTCATTTCCTGATGGATTCTGCAGCTGGAATTCCAGCCCATTTCCAAGAGACAGTGAGATTGCTCCAGATGCTGAACTGAGCACCTCTTTAAAAGCTGAGACTCCTTAAGGCATCCTGTCTCCTCCTGACCTCTGTCTGATGAGGCATGCTCAGACAGAAAAAAACCCTTTTCTTTAAAATGATAAAAAGAATTATTACTAAGTTGGATTCTGGTCATTGATTGAAACCAGAAAGAAGAAAATAATGTCTGAGACTGGTTTCACATCCTGCAAATAATTGAAAAGGTTATCCTACTTATACAGGGCGGGTTATTGTTTGTAAGTCCAGCAACAGTCAGAAATTGGGTTTCTATAACTATAGCATGCTCTCTTAGAACACAGCAAGGCAGGAAATTGGGAGTGGTTATTTGGAGTAGCAGAGTATTCGGCAAGAGTGGGATAAAACCACTTAGATTACATAACATTGGCATTTAATACCAAAGCATCCAAACATATTAATCACTAGCTTTAGTGCAATTACAGACCAGTTGCTCAGAGAATGTGGGGAGAAAAGTTGCTATCCTGCGGGCTGTTAAATTCTGTTCTCTGCACCTTTTGGCAGAAAGTGCACAGTAATCTCTCAGGCCTTGCAGCAGCCTTTGTCAGAATCATTACTCCTTCCTAATGTGAATTTGTGCCTTCAGTTTGTGACGCATAAAACAATAAAATTGCTATTTATTGCTAGAAATTGCTAATTCAAGTGGTATTTCAATACATTTGTGAGGTTGTGTCCTTCCAATGAGCAGTTAAGTCCTGAGTATTTAAATCCCCAAGCACTTTTTCTGAGGTGCTCTTGTGTGTCACCCAGATGGGTGATACTCTTCACCTGCACTTGACTTGCTTATATTGGAATTTTTGGGGGATGAGAAGTATGATTTAAAAAGAGTGTTTTTCAAGGCACTGTTCTTTGCTTTATATCTGCATTCCATTCTTTCAGTGGGTGTGTAGATTTATGGAAGCAGTCGTAGTCTTTTTTTTCCCATTTCCCATATTTCTTTAGTGCTTTATTTCTGTGAGGCCATGAAAATATGCTTTGCCCCGTGATCTTTAACTGCCTTTTAGTTGCTTATCAGTTTGTGCGAGGTAAAATAAGCCCCGTCTTAGAAGTTCTCTTTTGCTCAGAATGTCTTAATTTAATACAATAAGTGTAATCTGTTAACGATTCACTTTTTTATTACAATATATTAGACACGATGCTTTACTTGTTTTTAATGTTACTGAAGAAGTTTTGAATTAACTTACTGGTATTATCTGCTTGGGAAAAGGGAGAAGGGACTGCAAATATTTTTGTCTATCGTTCTTGATGATGAAACTTAATATAAAAATGTTTGTTGTATTAAAATCTAAGTCTCTTTGTGTTACATTTTAGCTTGATTATAGACATTTGAAAATACTCACCTCATAGAAGATCAGTCTTTCCAACGTCCTTATTCATTTTCGCCAATCCTCATTGAAAATCTAAACTTACCAAATCTATTGCTGTCAAAATGCATTGAAATAAGTGAAATTGATTTTTTTTATTATGGATGAATGTCTTTGTACTGCTCTGAACTACACTGAAACCATAGGAAGGGCCTCTTCATATTGCAATTCGTGCAAAGTGAACTCTCACTCACTCACCTGTGGTGAGACCAGGGGTTTGCAACACCATGGTGACAGTTCAGTACTTTCACACAGTTCACAATTTTGTGTTTCATTCCAAATTCGTAAACTTTTGTGATACTGTCAATGAATTTAATAACCAGTCTTAGAAATTGGGACTGCAGTTCCCATTTAAAACCAGTTCCCTTTTGTTCATAGTGAAACCAGTGTGTCTTTTATTTTTGCCTGTAAAAATATCAGCTACATGAAAAACTGATGGAACTGTTGCTATACAATGTTGTGGCTACAGCTGGCATGTACAGTACATTAATATTAATTCTGGTGTATTTAGGAATAAATGCTTCAATGATGAAATTATACTTTATTATAATATACTGTGGTAGGCTATCATAGTTTTTTTTATTCCACAGATCATTAACCCAAAACTGGAAAACTATAAGTACAAACACTGCCATTTAAACATTCTACTGTGATTATAAGTCTAATGTCAGTGGAGTGCAAACACCGACCATGATCTGCTGTTCCATATCTCCAGTATGTTTTACAGAGCACGGGTCTCTTGGAAGCCAATGTTTGCTTTAATCCTGTACCCTAGATTGAGTAGTGAGCAGATCTAGCTTTTAAAGGGGAACTGCAAAGCTTTTTTTCTATATTGGAGTTAAAAAGAATTGGCATTGATGAGTGCATTTCAAACCGCAATTAAAGTAAAATGTCGCCGGTAATGTGTAAAACCAATTTACATCACAAAATAAGTTTAAACTTCCAGGTATGCACAGCGCCATATTCTGAGATTCAGTACGAGGCAACAAAACGTCCTGTGAGGTGAAGTGGCCCTTTTACATTGTAAGCAAGCAGGTTTGTGAATACATCTCTTTTAATTTAATAGAATTGGATTAAATTGAATATTGCTCTCACCTTTGAGATGATTTTGCTAATAAATGGAATTTACTTGTAATAAATGGAACTCTGCAGCTAAATCTGCAACATACAGCTCACATTGGAACATTTCTGTGGTGAAATGCCTGTTGCACAACCTGTACTTATTTGCTAGTACACTTATTTGCGTATTACATTAGTCATTACAGTGACTAGTGAGAGGGAAGGGCAATTCACACGTACTTTTGCTCTTGTCTGTGGTGCGACCAGGCATTTGCAACACCATGGTGACTATCCGGTACTTTCACAAAGTTCACAATTTTGTGCTTAATTCCAAATGTGTAAAATGTTGTGATACTGTCAATTAATTTCATAACCAGTCTGAGAAATTGGGACTGCTGTTCTCAGTTCAAATAACTTTCCTTTTGTTCGTAGTGAAAGTGAAAGTGTTTTCACTCTCGGGGGGGGGGCATTTTGTTTGTATCTTAGTGTAACCCTTATCTAGTGTTTAAAATGACTTGAGAACATTATTATCTACCTTAATAAAATTGTGTATAGTCTGAATTTGACTTTGTATTAACACAAATCTCATCAGTGGTGTCTATATGGACTACAATTCTGCAGGCTCTGAGAAAACTTAAAAAATTAACATTAATTTGATAGGTTACTCTTTTTCTTTACTTCTGTATTGGCATTGTAGACTAGTACTCCAAGCCTTTGCAGAATTTATTTACAGGTTCTGACAGTTTTATTTGGTAAATGTTTCACTGAGGATTACTGGCTACAAATCTGACAGACCTTTTTACTTCTTTATGATGTTGTAAAATGTGTGATGAATAAACAACTGTAGCTTATTTAGTGATAGAGGCAAGGCTAAGAGGGAGATAAAAAGCAAACTGCAACAATGCCATGATTTGACACTACAGAACTTTACTTGAATTTGATCCAAGTTCATTGTCTATACAGGGTATTTACAAGATCTGGAGTTGGAAAACACACACAAAACACAAAATACAACTGAGGTATTAGCTAAAAGCATATATGTACTTCTAGTAAATATCGATCATGAAGAACGGTAAAGAGAGATGCAGTGTCATTTGTTTAAAAAATTGTTTTATCACAACATGAGGTAGGAGGACAGTGTCTTGTTTCATGCAATGCAAGAACAATTGTTTCATCACACTGTATAATATTGGCAACACAGTAACATCATATGCAATGATTGTATAGACACTGTTTTGCTTTGTGTTTTGACAGCAATTAAAAAACATTTTAAAGGTTTACAAAGCCATAATGAGTTAACATTTTTTACCTTTAGATTTTACTTTTTAGGTTTTCTTGTAGTTAATAAAGCCATCCAGCCTGATATTCATAAGCAGAGTTTTATCGATCCAAACAATAAAACTTCAAATCCTTGGAGATAATCTATAACTGATTCAATGGTTTGGTGACCTTTATAGAAATAAACTATTTCATTTTAAAAGCTTAACCAATAGAAAAATATTCAAATGGAAAACGTTTCTTGCTCATATACAGTAGGAGACATTTGTATAGCCAGAAACATTATTAGCTGCTTGAAAAACAACCCGAGATAAATTTAATGCAAACATTTTAAAAACATTTCAGAGATCCACTTAGTAGTTAATGGGCACCTTAAGGAGAGAAGTAAATTTAATCAGCACTATTGTGATAGTTAAATTGTAGTTTTACTTATGTGACTTTTAAATATTAATTCAATGTTTGTGAATTGACTGCAATAATTAAAGAACACTCCCCCCCGAGTTAAAACTCTGCTTATTGATTAAGGCCTCATCTGGAGCAACTGTAGCAATATAGATGTATCACACATTTGCAGATATACAACATCACATCTATATTTTCTTAACACTGCTGCTGAAGGACCTGTGCTTTACTTGTTAGGCAGCAGTTATTCCAAAGCAATAGAGCTCTCTAGTCTCCAGTTCTGCTTTATTAAAAACTGCGCGTCAAAAGACCAACGACCGTCACAAAGTTTGTAGGTAAGCCTGGGGCGCCCCCTCGTGTACAAAAGGCGATTTGCACGATTCATCCAGAGTACTTGAACAATGCGTAAAAGCCAAAGCGGAGACGGAAAAACCAACGAGTCGACAAAGTGAAAAGAAAAAAAAACCCAAAATATGATATTGTCAGCTTCTGCAGAGGTAATTGTGACTAGATTTTAACATAATACTGATTCTACCTATGGTGCTGTAAACATCAACAGGAATATAAGTCATTTATTATAATTCTGTTATCTGGAGATGTCTCTCAAGGGTGATTTACACCATTTACACTTACCAGAGTTTTTCATTTTGGGCTAATTAAACGTGAAAGGATTAGTGGCCTGTCTTCTTAGACAATGATTCAAGTTACCTGACAAAACAAACCCAGCAGACAGTCAACAAATCAATTCACAAGAGCACAAAACCTATCTGAGAATGTCTCTTGTTGTATATATATTGCCATGTTTCCAGCTTGTGCAATCCACCAGAGTCCAAATGAACGTGTGAGATTTCAAGCCACTAAATGTCAACTGGACACCCAGGAAGTGCTTTGAGGAAAGAAAAGCATGATTTGTTGTAGGATTGACCCCTCCAGCACACTCTAACGAGAGTAAAGGAGTGGCAGACCAGTGCTGTTATAGTATACACTGATAAAGGTACTGTCCGTCCACGCAAAAAAGTAGGCTATTTAAAGTTTAAATTCCACATGGGAGGATTAATTCGGAAATGCTTTAGTAAAATTGCCAATGGACGTGAAGGCTTTTTAAAAAACAGTAATTGTGAAATCATGTCAAAATTTACAAAAAACACTCACAAACTTCACCTGCTCATTTCGACTAAGTGAGCAAAGACTGAACTGTTTCATGCCGATTCGAATCATACTGCCAGAAGACATCAGGAACTTGGCTTAAGCTTCAAGAGACATTTCTGAAAATGTTTGTGCCTTGTATTTTTTAAATGTTATTCTTCATTGTTTATCCATTTTGTATTTCCCCAAATACACAATGTGCGTTACCCAGCTTTTGTTAGAAAGCTGGATAGCACACTGGAACACAAGTTATTTTCTCACCATTTGAAGTTAAACAGAAACACAAGTAAACAAAATTATATTCCTGTGGGATGCATTAAAAAAAAATTGTATCCGAAGTATTTCAAGACAGAATTTCACATGCACCTTGCATTTCACATCTGAACAATTTGAAATATTTAGGGGACCCTCAACAATACATAATAAATTTGTTGTTAAGAAGTAGCAAAACACAATTCATTTTCTATCAGCTTTGTATCATAAGCTTAGCTCTGAGAAGAACATCATCCACTCTCGCTACACAAAACAAGCCTTGACATGTTTTTAAAAAATCTTATATAAAACCATTTTTGTTTTATGAAAACTTGTAATCTGTGGGCATTCTTTTCCCACATCTTTGCTGGTTCTATCTATATAACCTTCTGAAGATTATTTGCACTAATAGAGCTAATATATTAATAACTACTGTATGTACAAAGTTAATATAAATCTTTATTAGTTAATACATTAAATATGTCATGATATAATTAAAAACATTTTATATATGCAGCTATAGCACAGCATGCACTGCAAATTAACTATTGGATCTACAGAACATTTTAATTTGTGAAATGGTAATGGAGTTAATGTCTCCTAGTAAAAATGAACAACTGGTGTCTAGTGTTTGAGACATAATTTAATATACTGTGAAAAGAAAAAATATATATATATTTGTAACATCAAGATTTTCTATAAAGTTTTCTAAATTTAATCAACTGAAGAATAAGGGAATGTATGCTGTTCTATCATTTATTGCAGATGCATATCCAAGATCATTTTGAAATGAGGCAGATATTTCAACAGCTGAATGAGAATGTGATATAAAAATATGTATACGCTTCAATTAGATCTTCCCTTCATTTGAAGTTAGAAAATCACTAGTCCGGTGAAGCAAAGGAAAGGCTCTGCAAATCCTTCGGCTAAAACCGTCTCACGACCCTCTCCAGGGTTATGCATATCAGCTCATGAAAAACAAAATTGGGTGGAAGAAGATGGGTGAGTAGCACTGGGATCTTAAACTCAATCCCCTGAGCAGACAGACTGTGGGAAAAAAGTATCCCCAGCATTCTGCTGCCACAAAGGAACTCGGGGCTCCCCTCAATCAGAGCAAGGCACCAGTTCTGGCTTTTCTAACTGTGCTGCTTGTTTACTGAAGCAGAATAACTCTAAGTGAGGACAGAACCCATTTCACTTGTGACCTAAATTTTAAGACAAAACGAAAAATAAAAGGTGTTAAATAGACTTACATTTTCAAATAGCAGCTAAAAGTCCAATAAATCATTCTATCAATTTGGCTTAGAAAGTGCCCTGCTCCCTGTATACATAATTAACCCACAACTGAGTGATTTGCTAGACTTTATTCAAACTATATGCAGTAGCATAATGGATCTTTAAAAACCAGCTAGCAAACTTTCACATAAAGATGATACCAGTTAACTGACAGTACCTTAAAGTTTACTGATCACCTTTTAAATGTGAAAATTAACGTTCTTATCCAAAGTTAAGCAGAGTAAACCTGATGGCCAGTAACTGATCATTTGGGAGTCTCAATTGCAAATGTACTCTCATTGTCCCAGTACACTGACCAGCAGCGCTTATTTTGAAACTTATTTTGATGTCCTATTTCTTATGAAATCAGCCCACCAACACACCCCCTGCCTAACCCAATCTCATGAGCACACCTGTCCACCAGAACTGTGTGAAAAGCAATTTCATGCTTTGCAAACTTTAGGAAATTCAAACAGCCTATACCCCTCTGTAAAACCCCTCAGATTTCACCGTACTCTCAATACATGCACAGCGATAATTCATTTTCAACAGATAAGAGAGGGCTGGTGTTTGGGGAAAAAAAGGAGGAGGAAATGACATGCTAAGCCTACTTTGTTATTTAATTTAGTTTTGTACAGAATCAATTCATGCTTCTCAGCTTCTGTAACACTACTGTATTCAAATCCTCTGCTCTGCATTACTAAGATAACACCACCGCAATGGAACCCCACAATTTACACATGCTCCAGTAAATGGTTTGCTTTCACATGTTGTGAAATTGTATTTATTTTAATAATTATTCTTCTGCATTTTACACAAGAGTAATGCTGTGATGAACCAACTCACTTTTTTGTGTACATCAGCGTCCAGATGAGATAGGCAAGCGATTATACCTTCTTTGGCACACAGCCCTACAGTGCATTGATATTATATTATGGGTCTCAAACTATGTTGTTGTGTCTATTTTTAAAGCAAATGCATGAATAGATTTATTAGCCTTGATCCAAGACAGAAATGCTAGCAGCTGTAACATGCTAAGAGTTTGAGTTCCTGGTAACTGAGAGGCAAAAAAATATATATATACCAGATTTCTTATTTAGATTGAACTTTGTAGGTATGAAAAAAATCAGAGGTGTTTAATGCAAAGAAGTCAGTGAGCCTGAAAGGAATCGGCATTGCAGCCTTTTGTGTATCTGTGTTACTAGAGGTTATGATCAATAGAAATGCTCTCTGCACAAGAATGTCTTTATGTTTTATGATATATACATACATAATTTGTTTTACATCTATAGTAAAAAAAACCTGTCCATGCTTCACAGTTTCTGATGAGGTTCAGCAATGTCTTGATGGTACGTTTCAGGAGAAATCTGCAACCCTGCACCACTGCTTATTCTATGGCTCAGTATGGCAGGTAGTATAAATTGGACAACTGGTAAAATGCATCTGTAACTTTTCAATCAGTCCATTTAGTTAACCATGTAGAAGATGAAGTGACAATGTCGTCTGGGGTAGTTGGTCTTTTTCATGTGCCATACACACATTCACAGTTTCATATACAGATTCTCAGTTCACCGTTTCAAAAACAGGCAGGGCAGGTCAAGCAGCCACTTGTAGGTACAGTAAGCACCCAGAGACCGTTCGTCTGAGGAAGGAAACCCAGTCTGTGCTGTTTTAGGAGCCTCAAGCAGCCTTGGAGTAAAAACTTTTTAAATTAAAAACATTTTTTTTTAGAAAAAAAAAGTTTAAATACTGTCAAGATATTTAAAAAAAAAATCATCCCTCACTCTGCTTGAAAAATATGAACGCTGGTAACAATATATATTAAATAACAACAAGCAAAACAAATCTAAAAAAAAAAACAACCTTTTAAGCTTCTCAGAGCAGTTCCGCATTCACATTAAAAAAAAAAACCTCCCGAAGGTTCCTTTTTTAGTCCGAATTTGTGTTTTTGAAGTCGGTTTCCTGTCTCTCCCAGCGGGCCGTGTCTAGTTGTCAGCGGGGGTTACCTCGCTCCCGTCTGGGTGAGCCTCAGTGTCCTTGGAGACAGAGGAAGGGGGGCTCCCCGCAGCGCCAGACTCGGATATCTGCTGCTTCAGCTCCGAGATCATGCGCTCCAGCTTCTCCCGAGCCTCCCTCTCTCTTTGCAGCTCTTCCTGCAGCTCCTGCCGGTCGGCTTCCGCCTGATCCAGCCTCTGCCGCAGCTCTGACAGCTATCCAGACAAAGTGGGGGAGGGGGACGGAGGGTGTTTGTTAGTCACAGGCACTCAGACAAAATGCATTGCCAGACAGTCTGAGCCAGCGGCCAAAAACCCAATCAGGAGACAGCGATTCACTGTAACTTTTATACTGCAGAACAGGGACCATGGAAATTTCCAAGGCCAGAAGTCTCATAAAGTACTGTGTGCCCATCTGTATAGACGCACACAAATGGTTGTTTTAGTGCCTGAACCTTGTGTACAGCATACATTTATTTTCTTACAGTCACACTAGCCAGTGATTTTCAGAGCAGAAACCCTGTTGATCAACCTGGTTGATGACAAATACTGAGCAGCACGATGAATGTGTCTGTCCAATAAAATGTCAGTCCACCTTCTCCAAAAACTTCTTTTGTGAATATGTTGCAATTATAAATGACCAATTTCTTTTGAGGCTTAACAGCATTATGCTTGTGTGAACTAGGAACTGATGTCTTCTAATAAACGTGGATGTGTTTGTTTCATCAGCAGTGTGACAGAGCATCTCGTCAGATCTCAGAAGCTAAGCAAAGCTGGCCCTGACCACTTCTGGGATTGGAGACATCTGAGGGGCACCAGGTGTCTGATGGAGCAGTAGGTGACAGTCTTGCTTCTGTACAGAGGTCTCAAACCAATGCCACAACTATAGTGACTTGGGACACTGTGCTATCTTTTGGATGAGAGGTTAAATCAAATACTAAGGCATTAGAGATCCAATGGCACTTTTAAAAAAAGTAGGAGTGTTATCTCTGGTGTTCTGGCTAAAGTCCATGCTGGGCTTTTAAGATCTGGCCACCCGAGAGCTCTCCCTTCATTTCAATTTCTCTCTTTTCTACTTGGCCAGCTGTGTGTGGGGCTGACACTTGTCACCTGGTTGAGGCTGCACTTCAGTTGTATGTAAGGTGCTCTGATAGCTTAAAAAAATAAAAAATCACTATATTAATGCAAGGAATTATTATTACTGCTTTTAAAATGTAAATACATACACCATATAAAGTACACCTAATATATGATGATAAACCCATATTTTGTATACAAAAAGCCACAGGCAAATCAGGTTTTTTATTTGTGAAGGTATTGTAATACATGTGCATTTGCTGTAGAAAAGGAACAACATGCACCACTATTTTCAAATATACTTGGATAAAACTGAAACCATGTATACCCATTTTCAGAGACGAAATTCGAAATGTGACTGAGGAAAGTATTCACAGTAATGATTCAAATCTTTCACTCTACGACTGACTGCACAACTATTCTTTTTCTCTTTGAAGGAACTTGCAAATTCTGCAGTTGAATGGACCCTGTTTTAGGCTCTGCAGAAAGGGTGGTTACTCTGCATTTAAAGCATTCAGATCCACCTAAACAGGCCTACTAATCAGGCAGCTTTTCAATTCAGCTGAAAGAGAGGACTTTATTCCATGTTTTCATTAATCCACATGGATGTGATACTGTAATAAAGGAGCTACGTTTGACAAATGTAACAGAATGTGCTAAGGAATGTTACAAGAAAAAGTGATTCCAATATTTAACGGTTGTGTAAACTAACAGATGCATAATAAGCTAATTTTGCCATATTTCATAGGAATTAAACACCCTCCACTGGTATAAGGGCAGAAATTGAACGGATCACTTTAGTCTTCAAGCAACAAGCCTATCACATCTACCTCAAATCATGAGATCAAAAAACTTTCAGTTTTATTTTTTTGCAGTTAAACCACGTGCAGCTCTCAAGTCAGCGGATCTATTTCGATCCCCTGGCCTTAGCGCTTGTTATTGCTTCATTCCCGCACGCGGGGGTGTCCCGACAGTCTGGATAGACCAGTCCCCCCAGCCCCTCCCGTACCTGGGTTGTGTAACAGGCCTCCTGCTCCCCCTCGCCGCTGGGCCCACAGCTGCAGCTCTGCTGCCTCAGCTGCTCCAGCCTCTGCTCCAGCTCCCTCTGCTCCTGCCTCACCTCGCCCAGCCTCCGGGCGTGCTCGCTGTGCACCGCCTCCAGCTCGCTCTGCAGCTCGCAGCGCTCCGCGGACAGCTCCCGGAGCCTGGCCGCCTCGCCTCCCTGCAGGGCCCGCAGCTCCTGCCAAAAGCACGGAGGATCAGTTCCCTCCCCTGGGCACCCGCTTTCACACGCAGCTGCCAAGAACCGGGGGGGGGGGGGGGGGGGGGGCACTGCCGCTCGCCTCCTCCGGCGGCTCAGCGTTTCTGCACCGCACAAATTCGGACGGGAAAGAGCCATCTCTCAGCCTGCGCTGGAGGGATCTAGTCTGTGGGCGTTGGTAAAGATCAGCAGAAAAGGCATGATATCCGAACACTGGCACTGTCACTTGGTCTTCTTGAGTGAGTGACATCTGTTATCTGTACTTTTTTGATCATACGCATCCTTACTTTCACATTTCCGAACAGGCTTCAAAACTGTATATAGAAGTATTACTTGATTTCTACTCTTTCAGTGCCATTACGGATATTTTTGCTTTTTGAAGGGGGAGTTAAAGTTCAATTTGACACAAGAATGTTACTTTGAGACCAAAGAAACTAACATAACTACTCTTCTCAAGGAACACTGAAATGACTTTGGAAAACTATGAGTCAATGTACCTTCCCTTAAGCCTAAAAAGGGTAAATCAACAAAGCTTAGTTACCATTTGTAGCTGCGTTTGCTTCTGCAATGTGGCATTGAGCTTCTCTTGCTGTTTAGTGTACATTTGCACAATTTCCACCACAATTTTGTCCTTGTCATCCTCCAAGCTCATGTCCTTAATGAAAGGCATGTAGGCGTTCTCGCGCCGGTCTGTTTCCATGGCAACAGCCAAGGGGCCATGCTCACTGACATGCTTGGATTTCACTTCATCTGCAGAACAGCTTGTAGTGCGAAGCTCTTTGTTGGGGAAAGAAGACAGAGAGAGAGAAGAAAAAGAAAAAAAAAGATAAATACGGGAACATGCAATGGTCTATGACTAATACTGATGGCACCGTGGGTGTCTTTCATACTGGAAATGCTTTCTGAACTAACATAAAATCTCACGCTCCTCTTAAAGGTCTTCCAGTCCCCAGGCTTGATCTGTTATGAGACATCACACCAAAGCAAATGAGAGTTTGTCAAGGGGTGTTTTTATCTCTGAGTCTTCTAATGAACCTGATATTTAAGATAGGTAAAAATGGGTTTTAAACCAACTTGATAGTGACTGATATAACTACACAAACACAAATAACAAAAAAAAAATGAAAGAAAATGATTCAATCTAAGAAAGGCAGCTGATAGAGGAAACTCAGTCTTCATACAGTAAAAGTTAAACACCTAAACATTCAAAGCTAAAGAGATACATTTCATAAAAATATGAAAGATCAATGAAAATGTAATCAAATTACTAAAAAATAAAAGGTCTAGATGTGCATTATTTAACAGGCTTCCTACTTTCAAGACATTTTTCTCAGTGAAAAGTACTTAGACTAGAAAGGCAAGTATTAATGAACAATATTCTGTCTGAGGGTGTTTGGCGCTGTAAAATGAATCTGTCACCAAGTTATAGGTGTCAGGGAAATTTAGCGTGACATGGAGAATATAAAAATCACACTTTGTGGGGAATTTTTGTGTCATATTGTTGTAAAACCTAAAAGGAAAAAAATATTCTGAAAGTCTCTGAGGCTGTCAGATATGATCGATTCCCAGAATGACAAAACAGTATTAAATAATACTCTCTATCTATCTTATTTATATGACTTTTATTGTTGAAACCGATGCACATTATAGAGAAGCAGCTCTTGATTCATGGTCACTTCAACTTGTCTATACAGGTGCATAAAGTAACGAAAAAGAGTTGCAGGGTCTTAGCAGCGAACGTCAGAGGCCTTGCAACTGTCACACACTGGTTCACGCCATGTGTAGCTGAAAGCTGTTTCAGGTCTTCAAAATCCTCAAAATCACTGACGACGTCAGCCCAGCAGACCACTTTCCAATCAACAGTGAAACATGACCCACCAGAGACAAGTGGAAGCTAAAGGGAAGTATATTAAAACAGAGAAGTGGAGGCACTTCCTTACACAAAGTGTGGCAGGAGTCTGGAAGAAGCTCCACATCCTTGATGTTGAGACCATTATGCCAGCTGGCGTCTTTCAGGAAATGGCCAGGTGAGCTCCTTGGATCAGTTAGCTACTAGCAGCCTAATAAGCCACAGGGGCCGAACGGCCTCCTCTCGTTTGTAACCTTTCATTAGATTTCTGACTCAGGCTCGCTGGCTGTTTTGGTGAAAATGACAGAAGTGAGTCACCTCCCTTTTTTGCTGAGAGAGACCGTGACAAAGCCGATCACGCTGTGAAAAAACCCGCGGAGGAGTAGCAGACGCGCTGAGAGCTGCAGTCTGGCTGCTCCGAGCCGCCCCCGCCAAGAGAGACCGGACATGAACAGGCACATCTCCGTCAGCACAAGAGTGTTCCCAGACAACACTCCTCGACTTGTCGTTTTCCCCAAAGTCACATTTCGATTAACTGTCCTCCACAACCAGCCACCCCAAAAGCTCATGTACCCCCCCGCCACCAAACCAATCCTTTAATGCTCTCTTTTAAGAAATATATTCCCTACTCTTGGAACAAACCCCTGGCAAACATGTAGTCTCTGTTGGAGGTGAAGATGTGCAAATGAGAAATGGAGTCATTTCCTGGGGCCAGCGGGGACTCAGTGTTACAGCAGGGAATATGCATTTCGTAACACACGCGCATGTACGCACAAGTGCACAGAACTTTTTTTCAGACATTTCCGGAAGAGAAATGGATTCACTGATCTACCTTCATTTATTAGGCTTCCAACTGAGTAGTGGAAGTCTAGAGGGATTTTTATTATTTTTTCTTTTCACTTTTGAGCTTTTGTGTTCAAGAACTGGCTGCCAAGCAGCTTTATGCAAGACAGGTGTAGCTGAATAGAGCAATCGTTTGAAAAGTGAAACACAAGCCAGAGGACACAAACAAACTGCAAGGAAATGATTTAGAACCGAGAACTGGTGGCACTTCTTTATCTAAAGGGTTGTGGGAGTATGGAACAAGCTACCCAGTGATGTTGTGGAAACCCACATCCTGGCGTCTCTCACGTTCCTGAGTAAACCATGAAGACTCCCGGGATGCCATTTTTCAAATTTCAGACTACCACTGTCTTATGAAACACTTCATCCAAGGCAGTAGGTTTCATCACACTAACACCTGCTTCAGGATGAACCTGATGTGTTAAGAGTGACACTTTGTACACCCCCAATGGGTCATCACCTGCTTGGTGAAACACCCTATACTGCTAAATGCTCTTCTTCAGAATCCATGAACTTCAAGCCTGGTAGGTATCTTTCTAGTTCCCACTTGGCATACTTGAAGATTACCGTTCTGACTGCCACGTAAGCAGATAGAAACCTGCCTGGAAGGTTTAAAAAAGCATAGCAGGGTTCTAGTGACTGAATTATTGCTACCTGTATAAATTAAAGCAGACATACCAGACTTACTAGGTTTGCCACCTGTCACAAATCCAGTTATCCGCTTCTGTGTTCGCATGGAAGCAATTAACAAGCTGCAGTGCACAGTGATCTGGGGGCATTGTGTTCAGTCTGGGTTGCCTTACAAACATATCTGGGTTTCTTCCATGGAAAAAGGTGCCACAGCTTTATGACCTATGACCCTATGGTACACAAAAGTGCGATCAGCAGTCCTCCACTGACCTGTAGCTGCATGTGATCTGCTAGCTGTCCCCAGTGGCATTTCTTCTTCCGATAAGTGGGTCCTCCTTTGCGTCTCGGTGTAATGATGGCTCAGCAGGGTCGCTGGCGCGTCATGACTCTCCTCCTGATCTTTCCCAAATGCCTTGCCAGACTCCCGGCCATGCGTCAGCGAGTGAGGGAGGGAGACATTGGGGGCCACTACTTTATCGTACATATACAGGTAGTAGCTGGGATGTAAAAAGAGAATTGGAAAGATGAGGTTGTCTTATAATTCAGTGATTTCTGTTCTGCATCTGTATTTTGATCTGATATGATTAAATACAAAATAAAAACATGTTTACAAAACAAACAATCCTGGAGGATAACAAACAAGATCCGAGGTATTCTTTTTTGCTGTTGGGTTTGTTGTGATATCTAGAACTCAAAACACTTCTTTGAATATGAATCTGAAGTTTTATGATCAGCAAATGCAGATAATGAGAAAGAAACAGGAAAAAATACAGAGACACTGAGTCTTTTACAACTTGTAAGAGATTCTATTTTTTAAAAATACTGACGCAATTAGCATATTACACAGCTAAAAGACAGAAAAGAAAAGGTCACAAAGTGCTACAATTTCTAGGACTTTATCCTTCAAGTAGGCAGCCTCTTTACTGAGAAGACTGGAAGAGCACTAAAACTAGAAAAACAGGTCAAACCTGCCATTGCGAGGTAGGTGTGATTTCAGAAATGCAAGTAGTCAAAAGATACAAATGAAATGAAATTGAGAAAACGATAAGTGAACGAAGGAACAGAGCTTTTCCCAATCTGTGCCGTCTGCAGTAAGTACATTTCATGGTCAGACAAGTATTAATTAATCCTGCCAAATCCAGCAGTCTAGCCGTGTTAGCTTGTCATTAAGTGATGACTGCCCTTACTTTTCAACTGCATTATCAATATAATCCTGCTAATTCTATCCTAATCTGTATTTGTTAAGATTACCTTCCACACACCAGCACACGCTTGCATTCAGGGAAATCAAATAAATGCTTATTCTTGGTTTAAAAATGAGGGGTGTATTATTTTCAAAATTGTCAATATAATATCATATTAACAAGAGTTAAATGAAGCAGTTGGTTACCTTTTATTGTTGGAAAAGAATTCAAAATAAGGGTACATTGAGCGGATTGGTCTGCGCAGTGGTTAGCACTGCTGCCTCGCAGAGCTGGGGCCCTGGGTTCAAGGGTGCTACAGTGTCTGCGTGGAGTTTGTAAGTTTGCGTGTGTTTCTGCCAGATACTCCAGTGTCCTTCCAAGGTCCAAAGACATACTGGTGGGAACAGTGGATTCTCTGAAAACTGGCTCTGGTGTGAGTGTGTCTGTGTCAGTGTCTACCTTGCAATAGACAGGCGCTCTGTCCAGGGTGTGCCCTGTTATGAGCCTGCTGCTTGCTGGGATAGACTCTGGCTCACCCAAGACCCTGAATTGGATGAAGTGGTTGGAAAATGGATGGATGGATACATTATGCTTACAAATGTCATGACAATTGTAACTCAGTGTTACATGTAGCCAAGACCTTTATTTAAAAAGAGGCTGCCAAACTTCATAAGCCCTAAAGTGACGAATAGACCACTGAATTGTGGACAACAGCACTGAAAGTGGTACCTTGGGTGAATGACAGCTGCATTGTCAGGGTCTTCTTTGATGTCTGGATACAGGTGATTAAAGACAATGGCTGGATGGGATTTCGCCTGTGAAAAAAGAACAGTTTATTCAAGTTTATTGCTTCCATTTAGGAAAGAGCAACTACAGTGTATGATGACCCAGTAAACGTAGTGATAAAATCTTAATGCTGCTGTCATTATTATCGTTACTAAATCGTTGCAGATTTCAGTTTAGTTACTTAATTACAACAGCGACAGATAATTAATGAGAAAATAAAACCTGTTGGTCCGTGGAGTTGGTCCTCGCTGAAAAACACTGATTTAAAATAAGCAGGCTTGACATCCTGTGTGTTGCACTCTCTGCTATGACATGTGAAGTGGTGTGCTAGACGAATTGAAGGGGGAGTTATGCCTATCAGTGTCATGTGGGGGGTGGACTGACTCATCAGGAGAGCTGTGGGGGTTGGAGGGTTACCTTTCTGACAGGGCTACTGTCAGACAATTTGCCCTGCAGGGTGCAGTGATCTGAGCCCGGCCTCTTCACTGGAAGATCTGCAGATGGGTCCTTCTGAGGGGGAAAAAAAGACAGAAAAGGTTTGTAAAATGCTTTAAGAAAATTAAAAGTTCTGTTTATTTGTCGTGGCCAGCCCAATGGGATGTTAAAAAACTCAAAAGAAAATATTCACCTGTCCATCACAGGACAGACACACACACTCCCACCACGGCTAATTTCCCCTGAAGCCAATTAACCTACAAGCATGTCTTTGGACTGTGGAAGGCAACCCACACAAACGCAGGGAGAACATAAATACTCCACACAGATAGCACCCCAGGTCCAGAACTGAACCCAGGGCCACAGTGTTAGACACAGCAATGCTAACCACCGGGCCACAGTTCTACCATGGTATTACTGGTATTCTTGGTATTACTGAAAACAACACTACTTTTCTCATTTTCCATGTTTATTTAAACATTAACATAAAGAAACCTATCATTGGCTTACTTAACTATAAAATCAAGCTTCAAGATGTTTGCATGAAGTTATGAGAATATCTGGAACAGTAAAATCAGGAGCAATGCACAAGGACACATGGCTTAGATGTTGCTATATACATATATAAGAGAACATAAATAACAGCTCAAAATGTCTAATGCGGCTTGTATGAGGCTGCTTAGTCGCAATACTCTTGAAGGGCTGCCACAGTTCAAGTATCATCTGACCAAAATCTTGTTGTCTGATAGATAAAAAAACAACCACAGCACATGCTGCATAATTTCCTCTCATGTTTAGGCCTATATCACTACCTTCTAAATAACATTTCAAATTAGACAAAATAATTGTAACATTGTATCAACTTAAAACATCTGATGAATAACATTACAGAGATGTGATTATAACTACCTTTTTGTAACACATTATTATTTTAAAGTATTTCACAATTATGTTGTGTACAAAGCTTGTGTGTGAACTGAACAGCATTTCTGTGCATCTAAACTCTGACCCCTGCACCTCCGACTTGACAGTTACTCATCTTGCTCTTGACTTCTTGGCATTCTGTACCCTCCATGTACTGTTTGACCGCAGGATGACAACCCACACAAATGCCACCATTTGATGCCAGATAAAGCCAACAATTTAACCAAAGACTTCCTTTCCTATACAGTTAATTACTGCTTGTCTAGACCATTCCTTTCCTTTAACTGACTGAATATAACACGATACCTCAGTACTGAAACACACAAGTTGTCAACCTGCTGCATATTCATGACATCCTAATCATGGTGTGTTCGCCTTTCAAAATACTTGCTCTTAATTGGTATCTGTATTGCTGTGACTTGGATTGTAAAACAAGGCAACATTTCCCACAGAAACGTTTGCTAATAAATTGCAGAAGCCTTTCCAAGGTCGGGCTGAAAACAATGATACACTGCATTAAAAAAAAGAGTTAACAAATAAAGCACATTCCTACAATTACAGGTCTCATGTAGGGGTTCCCACAGTTCCACGCGTCATGCTCTTTTTTCATCTGAATTTGCAGAATGTGATTCTGACACGATACGGCAGCAGAAATGGAGATAAACCCAGCTAGGACTATTCCAGACAAGACAAGATAGGGTTCCAACTATCTCCTGAACCACTGCACAGTACTATTTAAAACACAGGCTTGGAAACGTAGAGCAGGGTTAATGTACAGCTACTGCACATTAACCGTGACAAAGATCAAGACAACGTAAAAGGACAGGTGAAATTTATCCTCACTCCAGATGTAGAATGCAAGAATGTTTAGTCTTTTAAATGCATCAATATCTACCATATAATTTTCTCTGTAATGAGAAAAACAATGTTCTTTCCTCATTAACATTTAAGTCACTCTCAATTCTCAAACAAACTGGTTGAGCCCCTTATTGGATAAGGCCTGCCTATATCTATGTTAATCTGAGACTCCTCTAGGGGACTGATTATTATCTCCCACAGACGGCCCTTCTGTCATTGTAAACTGCAGAATGTAATCCTGGAGGTCTGAGCTCTGCTGGGGCATTTGAATACACACCTTCATCTGAGCGCCGCTCATAGTTCAACTCACATTACAGGCTTCCACACAACCGCACCATATAATTTGTGCTGATGGGTTCACATCTGCCTAATTTAAAGCTGGAATTTTCCAGAACAAAGTAAGCCCATGTTTTGTAAACTAATGTTGGTTAAACAGGTAACACAGGAAGTGAAGTATCTTGAATATCTCAGACCACTGAACAAGATTTTCCAGCCACGCAAAAGACAACCTCCTCTACTGGAAGAATTCAAGAACTGTAGTCTTTACATCTCGACAATAATATGTATTATATATATATAATTATATTGGCAAAGGCCATTATACACAAAAGTGTTCTTCTAAACTTGGAAAAAAACATAACAATAGATAATATATTTTAAATGGAATATGAGAGGACAACCATAGTGGAAATAATATTGTTTCTTTATCTCTTCTGAAAAAAACAAGACATAAACTGCGCACTAGGATAACACATCAAACTCACTAGAGAACACAAATAATGAAATACCTAATAAAAGGCAACATTAGAATAAACAATGTTCTTTAGATTGTGAGAAATGATAAGTCATTTATCCAGATGCCATAATAACATCAGAGCTACCGAGATTTAAAACAAATGTTCAAACACCACTATACCAAAGAAAATAAGTCATGACTGAAACTGCTGCAGCTGTGGAGCACCGACTATTAAGTTAGGAGGGAATGAATTCCCATTAAGCTTTCATGTCCAATTCAAAACTCAGCAGGTATGATTGTAAGATTAAAGTTGATTTTTTAAGAATTCCCTCAGAATGTGTTTGTGAAACCTCTGCAGGCAAAAAAAAACAAAACACCTAATTGTACATTGTTTTACATCACCTTCCAGGTCACTATGAAAGGAAAACATCACATTTTGATTCTAAGTTTGATCAAATCTGTGTGGCAAAAGTTCTTTTGTGCAGTGTAAGTTCTAAGTGAGGATTTTGTTTTTTTTTCTCATGAGTTTCTATTTTTTTTTCCCTGTGCCTCTAAGATTTTTTTTGTGTGTGCGTGTGTGTGTTAACCAGGGCTGCTTGTTTCGTTCGGCAACATCCTGACAAGATCTTGCGGGGCCTCTTGCCAGTGCTCCTGTGAACCGAGCTTGTTCACGGTTTCTTGACAATGATTCATAATCTCTCGCTCTCTCTCACACACGTGCTTCAGAAAACCCCTCTGACGAAGTTCCCGTCTTGGGCTTGATTTTCAGATTTTCAGCGGCTGGGGATCCTTCAACCAAACTTCAGACACCTGCCATCTCCGCAGATCGCCGTCTCGGACCCTTCGTCCAGGGGCCGGAGACACATCTGCTCCAACCGTCAGCACAGTTTGTTTTATTCATGTATTTTCAAGTCAGGTAATTCTGCGCTGAAAGCAAATGCCTATCAAACATTTCAGTTAAAATGGGCCTTTATTAAATGAAGTTGACTTATTTTTCTGCATTGAAAAGCTTTTCCTAGAATCATTTTCAATTCCTGTGTTTTACACCAGGGGAGCCAGCATGCAATGGACTCTGTAAAACAGCACTGGCACATTTTAAAGGGGTGAACTACTGCACACCCCGTAGTACAAAGAGAATGGTGTCCACATTCAGCTCATGCACCTCACAGAAGAAATGTGGTACAAGGAATGCACAAACTATCCACGTTCCCTTCCAAACAGTAATATTGTCCAGCCTGCCTGAGTTTTGAGACACCACTCTGTTTTGAGTGCAGGTCAACAGCTTTGGCGGTAGAGAGGCTGAATCTCAACAACAGTGTCCCAACATTTTCCGAATAAATCACACCACAGTGTTTCTGCCACTCTACAAGCCATGATAAAAAAAGTACATACGGGCAAAACACGCATTCACCCAAATCTTAAACTTATGACAATGTGGATTAGCATTCCAGGCACTCAGTCAGCCTTGGCAGAGTTTGAACTCTAGCCCCCAACAGCACTGTTCTTAATCCATTGGCAGTCTAGTCCATACCCCCACCCCCCCTATTTACAAGGACTACATGAGGTCAATTGTATTCATGGCCTGTATCCACATTGCTGTGATGAAATGCCTACAGCTTAGAAGAACTGCGCAGCCTGCAGCAGGGGAACCAAATTCATTAGACATGATTTTTTTATCATTGTAATTAGTCAGGGGCCAGTGCAAGCAAAGGAAGTTGTGAATTTGTGAGAGGCATAAATCAAGGCCACATGTCTTTGATATAATGGTCAAGTCTGAATCTTGGACAGCGTTAGGTTGCTATACAGTTATATATAAAGATGGATGCAGGTTACAGAGCTGCTCGATATCAGCCATGATTTAAAAATGCATCGAAGAGAAGAAGGACACAAAGATTCACTGTGCTTCACACTGAAACCATTGGCATTCCAGCCCCCTAACTGAGGGGTACCCATCTTTGTACTGCCGACGGAAGGAATGCCACAATCGCTTTGAGAAGAGAAGAGCTGGAGAGGACATTTTTCCAAGATGTAATCTGTTATAGACAGAAAATACTTAGATCTATCTCAATTATTACCCATTAATTAAGCAATTAGTTTGGCTTTGGCTTTGACCCTTTAAAGCATTATCAGAAAAAAAATGTGTTGGTATCATCATAGGAAAAAAAATGTTAGTACAGAACGAGATGTTTTTCTAAAGAAAGCCTTATTGATAGTGTTGCGCTTGAATATTCTGATGCTTTCAATCTCACTGTAGAATAGCTTAATTCAGTTTGGAGTCTGGAGACTTCTTGTAACTGTGGGATGTTTGTCTAGCATTGATATAGCTGTTACCATGGAAAACAAAGGACAGAATTTCCTTTTCAAAAGATGAGTGGAAAATTAGCTTGATCATAATCGCCATCAACAGCAGTCCCAAGTGCAGTGAGGAGTGATGAAAAACAGTAACTTCTTTCACCACTGCCACCTACTGAGAGTGTATGTAGATATTGGGGATCCCAACAGTGTAGCTGGATATCACTGTGGTCACTTGCCCACTGGCTCAAACCCATATGCGAAA